AATGATGTTCTGGCACGTTTCATGCACAACAGTCACGTTGATTCGTGGCGTTGAAATCCCAAGAACGGCATCTTAGTGAGAGATTCTCAGACGGTTGTCTTTCAATGGGGCACTTCCCGTAATGAGAATATGCCGACACCCACTTGCCAGGGGGGACAAGGCGTGTGAGACATTTGGCTGTGCCCCCACCCCATTTCCCTTCCCCAGGGTACACACTTGCACTCAGGGGGGAGGGGTCGGGATCCTAAACGCACCCTCGGGGCCTCTGGAGCCTTCAAATCTACACTCCGTGGCCTCCAAGATGCCCAAGATGCTATCTCAGCTGGCTCAAGCTGGGCTCGAACACGTCGAGGAGAGCTCAAAAGCAACCAAGATGGCCTCAAGACTGCCCAAGTGGCCTCGAAGACGTCCCAAGAGGGCTCCAAGACGATCCCCATGAAAGCTCCAAGAGGCCCAACCCGTCCCAATCACTAAGGCGGGCGTGTTGTTTTGTTGTTTGGAGCAAGGTCGCCTCTTCGGTCTCGACAACAACCAAGACTGCTCCAGACGCCCCCAAGATTGTTCCAAGACGGCCCCAGAAGGGCCGCAAGAGGGCCCCAAGACGGCCCACGAATCGCCCAAGATGGCCAAAGAAGGCCCAACAACGTCCCAAGAGAAGCCCAAGAGGGAGCATTCGAACCGACATCTCGAGAACCTCCGCCCCAGGAGGACCCCCCGGAGACCGCCAGCAGGCGCCACAAAGAAGGCCCGAAGCGGCCCCCCAAAGGCCCAGAAGACGCCCGAGGCGGCCCCAGACCGCCCCCTATGAGAGGCCCGGGAGACGCAATTCGAGACATGTCGAGCCCTCCCCTCCCCTCCCCGGGCCACCCGAAACCGCCAGCGGGCGCCCGAGAAATCTACCAGTGGCCCCAAGATGACCTCAAGACCCCCAACGGGCCTTCCCGACAATCACAACGGGCCCAGAAGGGCTCACCCGTGGTTTTCGTTTTTCCTACGGGGGAATGGCGTAGCCTCTTGAAACAATTCTTCTAGGGACCTATGAATAGGACTTGGAGGGGGGGTCTATTGCAACATCGTTGACGCGTCTCGGGTTTGCACTGGTCTTTCTCTTTCTCTTCCTCCTCCTCCTCGTGTGCATGAGATCCGAAGTTGCGGACAATTGAACCATGGCAGAACATCTGGACCGAAGAACTAAACCCCACTTTTCTTTCCATTCTTCGAGCTGGATCCATCTGTGAGGGTCCTGGGGCCCGAGCCTCGGCGAAAACGCCTGGTGCAACCAAATGCAACGCCCAGATCTCAGGGTCCTCCTCCTCCTCCTCCCTCCCTCCCTCCCTCCCTCCCTCCCTCCTCCTCCTCCTCCTCCTCCTCCTCCTACTCCTCCTCCTCCTCCTCCTCCCTCCTCCTCCTCCTCCTCCTCCTCCTCCCTCGACCGCCCCACCTCCCCCTCCGCGCGCCCGGGGCCTCGCCGCGGTTGGCGCTGGCGCCGAGGCGTGGGAGGAACTCCTGCAGGCTCGCCTGGCGGGGCGGGGCCCGGGGCCAGGAGAGGGGGTCTCCTCTCCTCCTCCTCCTCTCCTCCTCTCCTCTCCCCCTTCCCCCCGCTTCTTTTCCTCTTCTGCTCCTCCTCCTCCTCCTGCTTTTCCTCCTCCTCCCTGCTCCTCCTCGTCCTCCCCCTCCTCCTTCTCCTCCTGCTCCTCCTCCTCCTCCTCCTCCTCTTTCTCCTCCTGCTCCTCCTCTTGCTCCTCCCTCTCCTCCCCCACTCCTCCACCTCTTCCTCCTATTCCTTCTCCTCCTCCTCCTCTCCCCCCTGTCGCATTACCGGACGTGTCCGTAGGCGGGGTCGGGCGTTGTGCTGGAGATCGCCTCCCCAAATCCGCCGACCCCAGAGGCGTGTGAGGGAGAGTGCGTGCTAGAGCCATTCATCGTGAGCTTCTCCTTTCAAGCAGCCACCGACCGATACCCTCCTCCTGGCTCCCTTCCTTGGGACCTCTGTTCTTGGGCCCCCCTTTCCCCCATCCTACCACTTCTCGCCCAAAACCGACCGATACCCTCAACCACGCTCCCCACCACGCTCCTGCCACGCTCCAACCACGCCCTGGCATCCTCACCCCCAGGCTTCTGGGCTCTGTTCTCCCAGAACCTACCAACGCCCCCCTCCTGGCCTGACATCCCCACCCCGGGAGAGCTCTGTTCTGGGGACCCCCCACCCCGCAATTTCTCGCCCAGAACCTACCAACGCCCCCCTCCTGGCCTGTCATCCCCACCCCGGGAGAGCTCTGTTCTTGGGACCCCCCACCCCGCAATTTCTCGCCCAGAAACAACCAACGCCCCCCTCCTGGCCTGACATTCCCACCCCGGGAGAGCTCTGTTCTTGGGACCTCCCACCCCGCAATTTCTCGCCCAGAACCTACCAACGCCCCCCTCCTGGCCTAACATCCCCACCCCGGGAGCGCTCTGTTCTTGGGACCCCCCACCCCACAATTTCTCGCCCAGAACTTACCAACGCCCCCCTCCTGGCCTGACATCCCCACCCCGGGAGAGCTCTGTTTTGGGATCCCCTACCCCACAATTTCTCACCCAGAAGCTACCAACGCTCCCCTCCTGGCCTGACATCCCCACCCCGGGAGAGCTCTGTTTTTGGGACTCCCCACCCCACAATTTCTCGCCCAGAACCTACCAACGCCCCCCTCCTGGCCTGACATGTTCACCCTGGCGGAGCTCTGTTTTTGAGACCCCCCACCCTACAATTTCTCGCCCAGAACTTACCAACGCCCCCCTCCTGGCCTGACATCCCCACCCCGGAAGAGCTCTGTTTAAAAAACCCCCACCCCACAATTTCTCGCCCAGAACCTACCAACGCCCCCCTCCTGGCCTGTCATCCCCACCCCGGGAGAGCTCTGTTCTTGGGACCCCCCACCCCGCAATTTCTCGCCCAGAAACAACCAACGCCCCCCTCCTGGCCTGACATCCCCACCCCGGGAGAGCTCTGTGTTTGAAACCCCCCACCCCGCAATTTCTCGCTCAGAACCTACCAACGCCCCCCTCCTGCCCTGACATCACCACCCCGGGAGAGCTCTGTTTTTGACACCCCCCACCCCGCAATTCTTGCCCAGAACCTACCAACGGCCCACTCCTGGCCTACATCCCACACCGCCGGGAAGCTCGGGTCCTTGCGCGCCCCACCCCCAATTTTCTCGCCCAAAAAAGAACTACGCCGCTTCCCCTCCTGGCCTGACATCCCCACCCCGGGAGAGCTCTGTTTTAGGGATCCCCCACCCCACAATTTCTCGCCCAGAACCTACCAACGCCCCCCTCCTGGCCTGACATGTTCACCCCGGCGGAGCTCTGTTTTTGGGACCCCCCACCCCGCAATTTCTCGCCCAGAACTTACCAACGCCCCCCTCCTGGCCTGACATCCCCACCCCGGGAGAGCTCTGTTTTTTGACCCCCCACCCCACAATTTCTCGCCCAGAACCTACCAACGCCCCCCTCCTGGCCTGACATCCCCACCCAGGGAGAGCTTTGTTCTTGGGACCCCCCCCACAATTTCTCGCCCAGAACCTACCAACGCCCCCCTCCTGCCTGACATCCCACCCCGGGAGAGCTCGTTTTTGAGACCCCTCACCCCACAATTTCTCGCCCAGAAACTACCAACGCCCCCCTCCTGGCCTGACATCCCCACCCCTGGAGAGCTCTGTTTTTGGGACCCCCCACCCCACAATTTCTCGCCCAGAACCTACCAACGCCCCCCTCCTGGCCTGACATCCCCACCCCGGGAGAGCTCTGTTTTTGAGACCCCCCACCCCACAATTTCTTCTCTTAAGATCTACTACCACGCCCCTCCTGGCCCTGCCTCCCCACCCCGGGAGAGCTCTGTTTCTGCGGACCCCCACCCCCAATTTTCTCGCCCCAGAACCTACCACGCCCCCCGCCTGTCCTGACATCCCCACCCCGGAGAGGCTCTCGTTCTTGAGACCCCCCACCCCACAATTTCTCGCTCAGAACCTGCCAACGCCCCCTCCTGGCCTACATCCCCACCCCCTCCCTCGCTCTGTTTCTTGGGACCCCCCCACCCCCAATTTCTCGCCCAGCTAAACCTACCAACGCCCCCCTCCTGGCCTGACATCACCACCCCGGGAGAGCTCTGTTCTTGGGACCCCCCACCCCACAATTTCTCGCCCAGAACCTACCAACGCCCCCCTCCTGGCCTGTGCGCGGCGCTAAGGCGAGAGCCACATTTTGAAAACCACCCACCCTCCATCCGTGAAGCTCGTGCAAAGTTTTGACGCGAATGTGCGCGGTGCTAAAGGGAAAACCGCATTTTGAAAATCATCCGCCCTCAATTCGTGAAACACTTGCAAATATTTAAACCGAATGCGCGCGGCGCTGGGGCGAGAACCACATTTTGAAAACAACTCGCCCTCAATCCGTAAAACTCTCGCAAATGTGCAAAATGAATGTGCACGACGCTAGCGGGAGAGCCACATTTTGAAAACCACCCGCCCTCAATCCGTGAAACTCTTGCAAATGTTTAAAAACGAATGTGCGCGGCGCTACGGCGAGAGCCACATCTTAAAAACCACCCGCCCTCCATCTGCGAAATTGTTGCCACGTTTTAAGCTTCAGTGTCATAAATAATAAGGAATCTCAGACGAAACGCCCGGCCCGCCCTACAAAAACAAATAAAAATAAATAAATAATATATATAAATATATATATATATATAAAAAAAAAAAAAAAAAAAAAAAAAAAAAAAAAAAAAAAAAAAAAAAAAAAAAAAAAAAAAAAACAAAAAAAAAAAAAAAAAAACGTCCAGACCTTCTTTGGGGTCGGCGGCAGAGGCGGCAGCCTTTAGATAAGAAAGGAGCAGAGGGAACGAGGAGATAATAGCGAGGACTGAGGCGAGCCGGGGGGAGCGGAGGAAACAGGCACTCTCTCTCTATCTCTCTCTCTCTCACTCCCTCAGTCTCCCTCTCCCAACCTCTTCAGCATCTTTTTGCTGCACTCTACGGCATGACTGCGGCACTGACGATGGCGGTGGTGCGTCTGGTGCTGGCGGCGAGGATGGCCATCCACAGCGGGCAGGGCGGCACCGCGTCCTCAAACCTCGACCCTCTGGGGTCGGCGGCATGGCGCAGGCCTCTGGAATAACGGTGGGTCAGCTCCTCTCCTTTCTCGAGGTCCCGCGTGGCCCGGAAGACTATGGCGCCGCCCTCCGGCAGCGAGGAGTAACGAGGAAGCCGGAGGGAGAAGAGGAGGAAACGGGGCGAGGAAGGGGGGGAGGGAGAGGGAGAGGAGGGAAGGGCAGGCTAGGTGCGCTCGCGCCTCGTCTGACATGCTCGCCCTCTTCTATCCATTCCTTTGGTCTCTATCCGGGGGACGCGTGCCATAACCGACCTGCAAAGATACCAAACAAGTCCACAGCGTGGTATGCGCTGTTGGAAAAAGTCGAGCTGCGTGTTAAGGAAGAGGAGGTAGCGGGTGGGCACGAGGATGAGCGGGAGGAGAATGAGGAGGAAGGCGAACAGCAGCTGCAGGAACTGGAGTGAAAGGAAAGGGAGGAACAGGAGAACCAGGGGAAGGCGGAGGAAAGCAAATGGGGGGGCGACGCCGATAAAGAAAGATTCGGGTTCGGAAAAGTAGACACGCTGGGGCGAGAGCGCCATTCTGAATGACAGGAGCAGAGCGCCGATCCGAAAACAAAGCCCACACTGCAGCGGGAGCACCGTTTTTGAAACACCGAGAACAATCGGATTGCAACGCGCAACAAAGGACACTCAACACTTGAATCTGTATCAAAACAAAAAAACACACGCGGAGAGGGCTTCCGCACGGAATCAAGGGAGAGAAGAGAGTAGCATTTACTTTTCATCAGCAACAGCAGGACGGTGACTTGTAACAAAACGACATTAACGAGCAATGCAAAACGACCCGGAGGAATCAGAGCCAAGGGACAGACCGTCGTCCGATCCAGACCGCAATCTTAGATTCTGTACGGGCAAAGTGGTCTGGTCCAGTCTTGCCAAAGGCAAACTTTCCCTGTGTGCATGAGCTGGCTCACGGGGAAAAACGCGTTTTGCTGCCAGTCGGGATTGGCGAACCCGGCGGTGTAAGAGTGATACAAGCAACATGTTCATCGCAACAGGCATTCGCCGACGCAGCTGGAGGGTGTCAGCGTACACATTTTTGCGTCGGCGGCTAGGCAGAAACAAAAACTGCGCTGGCGGAAAAGCCGAGTAGACGGGGGCACCGTTGTAGCGAAGACGGCCGCAATGTAAGGAAAATCCGCCGACCCTGTCGGCGTGTGTGAGGGGCTTTTCCGTTCGAGCCGTCATCTCCGTTATTCTTTGTACTCGTCGTTTCTGTCCTTCCCTTTCCCTGGGACTCCTCTTCCCCTGGGCTCCAGCCAAGCCGACCTTGAGTCGAAGGGAAGCCCCTTCCCTTTGATCCCTCCCCCGCCGGGAGGGGGGGGGGGGTAGCGACCCCCCCCGGGTCAGATACGACGCCCCCCCCTGGGACCCTCTTCCCCTGGGCTCCAGCCAAGCCGACCTTGAGCAACCTCGTAATTGAGTCGAAGGGAAGCCCCTTCCCTTTGATCCCTCCCCCGCCGGGAGGGGGGGGGGGTAGCGACCCCCCCCCGGGTCAGATACGACGCCCCCCCCTGGGACTCCTCTTCCCCTGGGCTCCAGCCAAGCCGACCTTGAGCAACCTCGTAATTGAGTCGAAGGGAAGCCCCTTCCCTTTGATCCCTCCCCCGCCGGGAGGCGAGGGGGGGGTAGCGGGGGGCGGTAGCGACCCCCCCCCCAGGTCAGATACGACGCCCCCCCCCCGTACCGACCTTGAGCAACGTCGTAATTGAGTCGAAGGGAAGCCCCTTCCCTTTCCCTTCCCCGACGGGGGGGGGGAAGGGGGGTCCCGGGGGGGGGGCCAGGGGGGGGCCCAGGGGAGTCCCGGGGAAGTCCCGGGTCAGATACGACACCTCCCTCCCCCACCTTCTCGTCCTTCTCCCCGTTCCCCAAAACCATCCCACAGCCCGTGCCTCTTGCTGCGCATTGCGAACAGGGTCGGCGGCACGGGCCGTAAGGCCTTCGCAATAAGGCAGCAACAGGGAAGAGGAGCGTGGGCCGCTCACTGGAACGGGTGGCACCCAGAGCGTGTGGCGCGGCAGGCCCCGCCGGCGGCGAGGCGCAGTGCGGGTACCAGAACAAGTCTGGTGGGTCAAGGGTGGGATGCGATCAGCGCCGGAGCCAACAGTCCATGGCGGCGCGTCCCCCAGGACGGGAGCGGGCGCGGGCGCGGTGTGCCCAGCCAGATGCTGGGCCGCTGCGGCGGCGGGCGACACGGCCAAGCCTGGGGCAATAGCGAGGAGCGTGCGAGCAGCCAGTCAGTGCCATGGCGGCGCGCGGAGGGAGGGAAATCGAGCGGGGAGGGGGGAAGCGGACAGAGAGGAGGACGCCCTGCCTGCAGAGACCCACAAGAAGGGCGGCGGCGCCAGGCAGCAGCAGCGGCGCCGGGGACCACCCGCGCGTGGGGGGCAGCTGGGGGGAAGGCATCAGCCCAGCGCGGGCTGCATGAGGGCACCCGCGTCCCTGGTGGCCAGAGTGAGCCCGCCGCAAGCAGGGGCGGCCAGAGGAGCGGGAACGCGGCAGTGCCTCAGGGGGCGGGCGGCAGAGGCGGCGGCCCCCAGGGCGGGAGGGGCTAGAAAAGGGCGGCACCTAACTGGTGCTTGAAGTGCGAATTGGCCCCTGCCCAGGTGGACAGGGTGGGCCAAAGGGAGACAAGTGGGGCCACCACCACCAAGGTAGACGGCAGCGAGCGCGCCTTGGCCAGCCAAAACTGTTGCCGAAGCCAGCGCCTCCAGCCCAGCGGGAGAACCCGTGGGGCGGGGAGGGGCGCCGACCAAGTGCACTGTGGTTCAAATGAAAGACGGCCCCTCTGCCCGGGTAGACAAGGTGGGCCATGAGAAAATTGCATTGGCAGACCACCACCGTCAGGAAGACAGCAGCGGGCGCGCCTTGGAGGGCCTAAACTGCAGCCGAAGCCAGCGCCCCCAGCCCAAGCTGGCAGGGGGGGGCGGGCGACTGGGAACGCCTAACCAATGCACAACGACGATGAAGAGGAGGTTGGATGCCCCCAGGCACGGGTGGACAGAGTGGGCAACGTGGGGGAGGGGTTAAGAGCGGCCATCGTGGTCCAGTTGGACAGCAGTGGACGCGCCTTGGCGCACAAAACTGTGGCCCGAGCCCACGCCTCTGGCCCGACAGGGCGTGGTGGGCATGGGCCGGGCGCCGCGCCGAGCCGCGCGCCGCCAAATGTGGGCGTGAGGCAAGAGTTGCCGCAGGCTCAAGAGAGGACCAAGGGCGCAGGAGCTGGACGTAGGGCCGGCGGTGGCGTGAGCGCCCTTAGGGCCAGCCTGGGGTGCGCCCAGGGTGAGCGCTAGCGTGTTCGGCGGCCACTGGGAGGCGGGGCCTGGGAGTTGTGGCTGGGCTGGTGTGCGTGGAGAGTTCCTGCGGTGGTCTGGAACGCGTACCTCTGCCCGTGTGGGGGCTTCCAGATAGGCATGGGTGACGAGTCCCGCTCCACGAAGGTCCGGGGAGAGCGTCAGGGGTGTGGTGTGCGGGTGTTGGGGAGGCGCTGCCTGGTCTGCTTATTGTTGGGCCAGGCGGGGTCGGCGCGTCGCTTGCCTTTCCCCGCTGGGTCCTGGCCCTTGCCTTTGCCTTTGTCCTTGTCGGAATGTATCTGCCCGATGCGTCGAACATGCTTGTCCCAGACGGCGTGCCAATCGATCCGTATGCTCCGCTTCCTGCAAAACTGGCGGATGTCGAAGTTTTCCTCGCGCAACTGGCACACGATCTCCTCGCAGAAATGGTCCTGCCCAATGGGGTTGTTTGTTGCTCCCGGCCGCCCTTCCCGCTGGTCGCAGAGTGCGTTCCAACCGATGACGAACATGGCTCCGCACTCGTTTTCCAGCCCGTTGACAAAGTGTCAGCGTAAACAAGAACTTCACCATTTTGGCTGGTTCGCGCAAGCCGTATCAGCAAGGCAGTAGTACTCATAAAGTGTAATTCCCCATATCCTAAGATGGGGTTATTGTTATTACTTGGACGCCATCTACTCCTTCTTCTCCCTCTTCTCCTTCTCCTCCTCCTCCTCCGCATACCCAGACTTACTCACACTCAGCTTTACTCATACCCAGACTTACTCAGACACAAACTTACTCATACTCAGACCTACTCATACTGTTACTCATGCTGAGACTCACTCGTGCCCAGACTAACCAATACTCAGACTTGTTCCCAGACTTACTCATACTCAGACCTGCTCGTACTCAGACCTTTTCATTGTCTGATATATTCCACACGCAGCAGATTGTGAGGATGTCTCATGCGGGGCGCTGGCTTCAGCCCCCCTAAGGGGAGCGGCCAGGGGTGTTTTCACGGTCCCGTTCGCAGCAATTTTGTGGGGATGACTCAGGCGGTTTGCTTGTTTTCTGTCCCAACATCCTTGGCTATCCGAGCAGATTGTGAGGATGTCTCAGGCGGGGCGCTGGTTTCAGCATCCCTGAAGGGGGGCCGCCAAGGGTGTTTTCACGGTCCCGTTCGCAGCAATGTTGTGGGGAAGTCTCCGGCGGTTTGCCTGTTTTCTGTCCCAACATCCTTGGCTATCCGAGCAGATTGTGAGGATGTCTCAGGCGGGGCGCTGGCTTCAGCCCCGGGGAGCCGCCAGGGGTGTTTTCACGGTCCCGTTCGCAGCAATTTTGTGGGGATGTCTCAAGCGGTTTGCTTGTTTTCTGTCCCAACTTCCTTCGCTGTCGGAGCAAATTTGGAGGATGTCTCGAGCGAGGCGCTCATTTTCACCCCCCAGGTGGGCCAGATTTCGAGGATGTCTCGATCGGTCTGCCTGTTTTGGTGGCCAGGCTCGTGGGCGCAGATTCTTCTCAGGATGCCACAAGAAGCTCCAACAGGCTCCAGGAGGCCCCAGGAGACCACATGAGGTCCCAGGGGGCATCAGGAGGCCACATAAAGACTTAAGAGGCCACAGGATGTCCCAAGAGGCTCCAGGAGGCCCCAGGAAGCTCCAGAAGGCCTCAGGAAGCCACAGGAGGCCCCAGGAGGCCACAGGAAGCGCCAGGAGGCCTCGGAAGGCAACCGGAGGCCCCGAGAGGTCCCAGGAGCAGGAGGCCTCAGAAGGCAACAGGAGTGGCTCCAACCCCATGTGTTTTACGTATGCTCCTATCGATTGGGCCTCACCTGGAGAACGATTCCTTTATGTTATACGTATGTTTCTATAGATTGTCCTCCTCCTGTGTGCACAATCCTACATGTTTTACTAATGTTCCTATATATTGGGCCTCTCCTGGGGCACGCGTCCTTGGTGTTTTACGTGTGTTCCTATATATTGCCCTTCTCCCGTGGCTCTAATCCGCAATGTTTTATGTACGTCTGTTGCTATATATTGGGCCTCTCCTGGGGCACGAAACCTCCTTAGGAGGTCCTTTGAGGCCCCAAGAGGCTCCTGGAGACCCCAGGAAGCCCAAGTGGGTTTCAGGAGGCCCCAGAAGCCCCCAGGCTCATGCGCAGAGACGCGCTCGTACTACAGAGGCTCATTCACACTCCAATTCATTCGCAGTTAGATTCATGTCCAGACCGTCACAACTGAAGCCCGTTTATATTCGAACTAGAACCACGCGCGCGCTTCGCGCGCGCCTAGGTTCTAGCTAGGATCGTCACCCAGGATACGAGTACTGGAACCCTCTTGGGATTTTTTGGGGGGCCTCGTCCGGCCGCTCGCTGGGAGTTTGACGTAGCTTCTCGGGAGCCTCTGAACCTGTCAGGGGCCTCCTGGAAGCAGGTTCGAAGCATTTTGGGGGCCGATTTGAGGCTTCTCGGGGCCTCCTTTGGGCCTCTTCGGGGTCTCCTGGGGCCTCTTGAGGGGCCTTGGGGCCTCCTGGCGGCCTCTTGGGGCGGAAGGCTCGAGCTTGCGGTTCGTGGTCCCCCTCTGGGCCCCCTCTTGGGCCCGTCTTGGGGCCCTCTTGGGCCATCTTGGGCGCCTCTTGGGCCGTCTTGGGGCCCTCCTGGGCTGTCCTGGGGCCTTCTTGGAAGCTTCTTGGGCCGTCTTGGGGCGGTCTTGGGCGCCTCTTGGGCCGTCCTGTAACGTCGGAAAGCCCAAAAGGCAACTTTGTGAAAAATGTACGTTTTACGAAAGGAATGGGCCAATTTGTGCGTCTAGGGGCCCTCTTGGGACGCATGTTGGAGGCTTCTTGGGGCGTCTTGGGGGCGTCCTTGGACGTCTGGAGGCCATCTTCAGCATCTCGGAGCCCTCTTGGAGGCCAATTGGAAGTTTCTTGGGCCGTCTTGGGCGCTTCTGGGGCCGTCTGTCTGACCGGGGAGGCCTCCGGCAAGCCCCGACGAGCCTGCGGGGCCCCCGGAACCCACATTTGTGGTCAGGGCGCCGGCCCCGGGCCCCCGGACCCGGTCCCCCGTTATATGTATAAGCTCTTGCGCCTAGACATTCACGGCGGACAGGTCCATGCGAATAGCTGCACATATGGGGAGCTCCACGCAGTGAATAATTGTTGAGGAGGTGAGTGGGCGGCGAGCGAGGAGCGGAAATGAGAATGAGAAGGCCTTCTCAGAAAGCGTCGGGGCTTCTCCGAAAGCCTCCGGCCTTTAAAGAGGTTTTCTGTGTCCTCTGGAAAAGCATAGAAGGCCCGAGAACTTCAGAGCCTTCCGCTGGAACGGCCCGCCCGTTCTCAGTTCCCCCGCAGGCTCGCCGCCGAGTGAAGGGGGAGAGGGAGCGGGCGAGGGAGGGGGGGAGAGAGGCAAGGGGCGAGCGAGCGAGAGGGAGGGAGTCAGAGTGGCAGGGAACAGGGCAGATAGGATGGATCGGAGGACCAATATCAGCAGGGGGCCCGGGCCAGAGGCGCGCACGCTGAGGCCCGCAAAAGGCTGCCCCATCGACTTCGGAAGCCCCACGCGCCGAGCGGCGACATCGGCTCGGCGGGGGCTTGGCGAACGCACCGCATCATCTCGTCGGCGAGCGAGGGGAGGAGGTGAGGAGAAGGCCCTCGCAGAAGGCGGCGGGGCTTCGCAGAGGGCCCCTGGCCTTCTGAGAGGTTTTCTGCGTCTTCGGGAAAGGCTTAGAACAGATCTCAGACTGCTGGGGGGCTTCCGAACATTCACACAAATATCTCCCCCACAGGGCCCGCCGCCGAACATCCTTGTCCCAGCGACTCGCGTGCTGGCAAGGGTCCGAGCGGCGCGCCTTGGTAGTTGGGCTCTTCAGAAAGGCGCAGACGAGGCGCTTAGACAACATCGCACGCAGCATGGTTCCCTGGTAACAGCATTCGCGCGGGGGGGCTCCGACAGCCTCAACTGACGAGCCAACTCCCAGGCAGGCAGCGGAGGGCGATAAAAGGCGGTGAAAATCCATGGCCGCCCCAGACCGGAGGAGTGCGGCAGTCCGACTGGCAAAAAAGCAAGCCCTGACATCCGACGGCTCGATTCCTTGAGACATGGACCCTCAAACCTCTCGACCTCTTCCCTGGGACTGGTCATCACAAATGATGTTTGACAGTCCCAGAGCCCGGAAACTGCCTCCGAATGCAGAACAAATAAGGACACCTACAGCGAGTCTTCTTGAGCGGGCAATATTTGTCTCCATGTCCACTGCGTCTTGGAGTTTCCGGATCCCTTCCCCAGAAGCCAGAGGCGCCGAGGATATGGATAGAAATACTGTCCCCAGAGGCCAATTGTGATGCATATGCACTGCGCCTCGACCTTTTGGCACCCCTTCCCCAGAAAGCCCAAGACGCAATGCATGTGGATGTATGTACATCTTGCCAAATTGTTGTTCGACTCCACGGACACCAGAGGTACGGGGAAAACGAAAGGCGCATGTTGCTCCTGCCTCAGAGGCTCGGGCAGGAGGGGCGCCTCCGACATCAGCAGCAGCTTCAGGGCCGTGTCCGAGCGCCCGCCGCAGCTGGGAGCGAGCTTGCGCATCCGCCCAGCGCCCCGGAGAAACGAACATGGCGCTGCGCGGCATGCGAGAATTCAAGAAAGAGGAGGAGGAGAGGGAGGAGGAGAACCGATGATCGATGATCGAGTGTGTGGTGCCGTCCTCACCGTTGCTGACGGCCTTCGCCGCCACCGACACCAAAAGCACAACCGCCGTCGTCATTGCCACGGTCATGCCCCCGCCGCCACTGAACAGAGTGCAGAAGAAGATGCTCTACAGGGAGACTGCGAGAGACTTAGGGACAGAGAGAGAGAGAGAGACCAAGACCAAACATTGGACGCAAGCAGAACCGACAAGAAAAACGAGAGAACCTGCAGCAGGAATACCGTGGAGAACGGCATCGCAAGATGCCGAACCTCAAGGTCTCAAGCGACGAACATATCCACTCGTATGCCCTCGTGGTCCAGATAACGAAACGGGATCCTATCCCTGGGAAGCGCTCCGCGCGGGGTCTCCCCGAGTGGCCGCCCGGTACCCATGGGATCGCGAACCAGGAGTCTGGGCCGCGAGGCAGTTGACATGGATATCAGAGCAAACATAAAGCACAAACATAAACATAAATATACCCGGCGCCAGAGGCGCCGCCAGGGGGGACCTGGCGCCGATCCAAGAGACCCGCGCGGAGCTCCGAAAGTCTACGTTGGCGCATGCGTTTTTCGTTCGCGATATTTTCCGCCGTTGGGCGTGAATCAATGAGGGGGGCGATGGATGATGGGGAGGAGAGAAGTGAAGTGCACCTGTCGCGCAACTCTTGGGGCCCCTGTATAAGGTACGAGAAGTGCACCTTTCGTTACCCCCCTTACCCAATCCAGGGGACGTAAAGGTCGGGCAAGTGCAGAAGTGGGGTGATAGGAAAACCGCTAAACACGGACCGTGCAAGAGGGAAGTCTGAGCATCCAGCTGGGCTCGCTTCCTGACCCCACCGTGGGACCCCCCCCCTGTACGAACCCCCGACCCAACGCTCGGGGGTTGCTAAAGGTGCCCCTGACCCAAGGGGCCCCCAGCTTTTCACTCAATGTTGAAGCCCCTGGAACCCTCTGGGCCTTGTGAAGGGTGCTCTGGAGGCCGCGGGGGCCTCCTTGAAAATCCAGGGGGCGCCTTGGACCAGGGGCACTTCTAGCAACACCCGAAACGCCCGACGCCCACCAACAACCAAAAGAGCGCCAGCCTGTGATTCAGCATGGATGGCAGCCCGTACACGGCGCAGAACTTGGGGTGGCGGGGCGGCGCGCCTCCGCGAGCGCCGTCCGACGTCTCGGCCACCTCTCGGGGGGTCCTGCTTGAGGGGGCCCAGGGACACCATGACATAGCCACATATTCAAAGATTCCTTAGATCTGGATCCCCGTGTCCCATACTTCTCAGATGTTCATGGGCATCGGCATTCATGTGTGTTGCGTCTATTTGTCCCACCAGATTATGTCTGAGCAGCGAGACCCCAGATACGCGGCAACGACAGAGCCATGACCCCGTGCCAAATGTCATCCAAAGACCTCGAACATATATTTCCGCTGCCTTATCTTCCCGAGCGGAACCACCCCGCAAGGGCGCTAGGGCTTGAGGCTGGGCGACAATGCTGTCTGTAAGTGCTCTTCGTGGAACCTAGATCTCGGGGAGGAGCGGCGATAACACTGAAGTAAAAAACACGCGACGACAACGACAGCGAAAGCGACGACTGCGAGGTGGATGACAACGAAAGTGGCGACAACGACAAAGCACGCAGCACGACGCGCACGACGACGACAGCAACGATGGAGACGAGGGGCGACGACGACAACGACGACGAGGGAACCTTGGCTGCGGACACCGCCTTGGTTACTGTGGGGCCCTGTCCGTGGCTGCCTACCCAGACCGCGAGCGGCCCGAAAGCAATCGCGCCACAGGTTCTTAACAATTTTCGGAGTCCACAAAACGTTACTGGGCCGTGGCTGGGTCCTGGGAAGCTGGGCCACCCAACTTCGCAAACAGCGTCCCGCCATGCGCGACGCGCGACTATTGTCGCGCCCTCGGGAGGCCACCCCGGAGAAAAGGCGGCTGTCTGGCAAAGGCCGCGACGCGCGACGCGAAAGTATGTCTTTGTCTCTCGTGGGAGCTCGGCTAACTATACATAAGAGTGGCCATGAACAGAAGTGGCATGATACCGCAGAGGAACCCCAATCATAATCATGCTAGGGCTATATAGCTATACGGCTATAAGGCTACAGGGCGAAAGGGCTGTAAGGAAGGCTTTGGGACTATAGGGCTATAGGGCTATAAGGCTATAGGACCATACGGCTACAGGGCTGCATAGCTGGGCTATAAGGCTATGGAGCTATGGGTCTACCGGGCACACAAGTACCCGGGCACCCCTGAGCACCTCCGGGCACCCCCGGGCACCCCGGCACCCTGGCACCCGGGCACCCCCGGGCACCCGGGTACCTGGGCACCCGGGCTGGCCACCGAAATCGGCGACGAACCTCACGTAACCATATGAATCCGCTAGGGCCCCTGCAGAGGCAAGCTCTAATATTTGGAGCGCGGCTTAAGGAACCCACAGAAAGGGAGGGGGAAATCCCAGCCCGCAAAGCAATCCTGGGCAGACCCTTGTAGGCCGCCAGTGGGCCGCACCCAGTGTCACTCCAGCGAAGGGCCACTCTTGCGCGCAGCCGACGGGAGACGTAAGGGGCCGTCGAAAACAAGTCGAGATGAGAGGCCGGCTTCAGGGAAAAGGTCCCGAGCTCCAGGGGCCAGCATTGGACGCCCGAAGTGGGCACGCGGGAAATCGGTACGATGTTCAACGACAAATGTCGTCCAAAACCGTCGAGGAAGGCTTGCAATCTGGTAGACGCGCGCACGGGCCGAAATCGCACGCCGGCTTGCCTGGCCCGCATAAGGTCTCCGTGGAAACTGCATCCCGTGTGACATAGCCAATTGTAGTCTGAGTTCGGTTGGGAGGACCAACATTGGCGCCAAAGAGGTGGTTGGAGACGGCCTTGACCCAACGCAAGTGCGCTTGGTGAGCCAGCGCGAGATGGCAGCGAGGTCCCCGTCGAAGTCCGCGGCGAGAACAAACGCCCGTATATGACAAAATACCGCAGCTCGGAAAAGCCGACCTGGTCGAAGAGACGAGGAACCCCAGTGAACAACGGTCGTGGGGTAGCCGCCGTGCTGGCTGCATATAGACGTAGCGTCTGCAGCCCTCGCCGTGTGTGTGTGTGTGTGTGTGTTTGGTCGCTTGCGTTCCACAGTCGGGCCAAAATTATGCATCAGAGACATCAGGTTGGTGATAAGTAGCTTGCTGCCCCGTGGCGCCATGATGGGGATCCTCATTGTTACGAGTCCACCACGGTGTGAGCTGCGAGGACGCCTCCGGGGCTCGGCCCTGCGCAGGGTCGAAAACCATGTTGAAGCAGGTGGCACCCGTGGTAAAGCTGTTGCGCTTGACTGGTGACACAGGTGGTGGTCTAGATACATTGACATTCAATACTCCACTCGAGTGGCGCGACGTGCTCGCATAGAGGAAAACCAGCGCGGTCGCAAACACCACGAAGCACGGCGCTAGCCCAGAAAGGAACCTTGCTGTCATTTTCCCGACGCTAGTTGCGGCCAATGCCTGCGGGGTACGATCGGTCGGAAAACGTCGTGGCGCTCCCGTGGGCGAGTCGCTCCATATCACAAAATTACTTGCAACGCCCAATGCGAAGTGCCAGCCGGCCTGCAGAAGGGCCATGAACACATACTGTCCGTGGAACGGAAGGGTAGTCGACATTGGTTCAATGTCGACGTTCGTACTTATCCCAACATATCCAAGATGTTTGGTGAAGTACGGATGTGCGTTCACATCGCACCATGCGCAGCTCCGTGGGTCGCGAGATGCGATTGCTCCCAGCTCCGCTACAACATATAATTGCGGGTGGCAGTGGTGTAAGGTAAAAGACACGTCGGCAATTGCAACCTGAGAGTTAGCAGAACGGCGGCTCTTTTCCCTTTCAACATCGTACAGATGGCGGGCCCGCTGCGGGCCAAACGGCAGCGGACCCCTCCGACTCGAGCGAGGAGGAGGAGGCGGAGGAGGATGAGGAGGGAGAGGAGGAGGAGGAGGAGGAGGAGGAGGAGGGGGAGGATAGTGATAATAAGACGAAACAACATAATAATAATGAGAATAATAATACTAATAATAATACTGAGAAGAAGAAGAAGAAGAAGGAAGAGGAGGGAGGAGAGAAGAGGAGGAAGAGAATGAGGGAGGAGGAGGAAGGAGGATGACGAGGGCGAGAAGGAGGAGAAGGAGAGGTGAAGAGGAGGATGAGGAGGATGACGAGGAGGAGGAGGAGGAAGAGGAGGAGGAGGAGGAGGAGGAGGAAGAGAGGAGGCTGGTCGCCCAGGAGGCAGCAGGAGCCGGCCACCGAGGCAGAGGCCAGAGTGGCTGGACCCCAGCTCCTCTTCCGCCCCCGCCTCGGACCCCACGCCCACGCAGCGGTGAAGGGCAGGCCATCCCAAGCCAAGAGCTCCAGACACCGACAAGAGAAAGCACAGCCATGGCACTGCCACAAGGAACGCCACATCAAGAACGAAGGGGCTTTCCTAGCCACGGCGGGCCTCGGCCACGAATAGGTTCCCCGACATAGATGTAAGGAACGGCCTGAACACCAAAGCCCCATCTGAGCCCAGAATAGTCATTGCTTCAACGCCTCGACTGTACGGTGCCTCCGTAACCGAAAGTGGCCATGACATCAGAAGCAGTGCCTCAAGGACCAAATAGCACGGTGAAGGGCACGCTGTCAGCACCTGCCTCAGCGGCCGACTTCGCGAGCATGCTAGCCAACGCGCTGCCTAACGCTCCCCATACTTCCCCCGTGAGGAATCATACTACAGCGAGCGAGCAGGAGCATGTAGTGCCTTCCGCTCACATGCGCCATCAGAAACACAATCCAGCATCGCTGCCTCACGCTCCCGCCAAGTCTCCCATTCAATAATGAACGCAATACGAATACGACTACTACTACTACTACTACTACTACCACCACCACCACCACCACCACCACCACCACCACCACCACCACCACCACCACCACCACCACCACCACCACCACCACTACTACTACTACTACTACTACTACTACTACTACTACTGATACTATTATCCTTACTACTACTACGACTACTACTACTACTACTACTACTACTACTACTACTACTGCTACTGCTACTGCTACTGCTACTGCTACTGCTACTGCTACTGCTACTGCTACTTCTACTTCTACTTCTACTACTACTACTACTACTACTACTACTGCTGCTGCTACTACTACTACTACTACTACCACTACTACTACTACTACCACTACTACGAATAATGATAACAATAATGCTGCAGCGAGCGAGCAGGCGCACGTAGTGTCATCCATTCAGATGCGTCATCAGCAGCATAATCCAGCATAATGCTCGAGCCCCTAACCTCCCATGAAAATGAAGGAAAATCCAATGCATTCCGCCCACACCAGCCAAGTCCTGAAAATGTCCCTCTGCCTCCCCCCACCTCCTCCCGCCTCCACCAAAGACCGCCTCGCTGCCGAAGCTGTTCGTCATCACGATGCCCCGGAAATCGGGTTCGGCCTCTACCTCCCGCCGCCAGGAGACAGGCGGAAGATGATGATGACGACGACCAGATCAAACCCAGAGCGCATCAACGATACTGAGCTGCACTCTCCAGTCCCAAGTCCCGCCACTCGCATGAATCCATGCAAGTGTTTCGATTCAGTGCGGAGAGCGCCCCCAATGAATAGCTCTTCCATTCAAGAGAAAACCCATTTTCGAACAGCACCCACCAACCGCACCTGTAGCCAATATTTCTTACAAGCGTCACGACGGGTTAGGATGACATCATACACGTAAAAAAAGTCAAACACGAACACTTGTTTGACAAAGAAACGCCGTCCATCGATGAAACCAATTTACGCTCGACCTGTGGCTGTGCAAAACTCATGTGCCAACCTCCCGCTATGAACTACGAGTATTGCTTAGACGAGAGCCACATCACCGCCTCTGCGTCACCCGTTGGACATCTGGAAACGCTTGAGGAGCATATGCGTGGCGCAGAGGAGGTAAGAAGGGAAGCAGCGTGCAGGGTGGAAGGAGGCTGTGGGGAAACAGAGATGAAGTAGGCGATAGGTGGGAAGAAGGAGGGAGGAAGGCAAGAGGCTGGAAGGAATGAGAGGGCAAGACGCAAGGATGGGGGGGTGTAGGTAGGAAACAAAAAGGAGAAAATAGGAGAGAGGAAACGGACAGGCGGTGGGAAGGTGGGAAGGAGGGAAGAGAGGGTGTGAAGAGAAAAACTGACCAATACCCCGACAAGAATTGTGAGATGAAGGACCAACCAGAACGTAACCCGCGATCCCGGGCTCCAACGGGAACCCTGGAATGTGAGACGGCGGCGCTGCTGCTCCTGCGGGTAGCTGACGCTATCGCCGCCGACGCCGCTCTTTATGCTGCCGCCCCGCCGCCGCTGCCGCTGCCGGTGACATCCAAGCTATGGCGGTGGCGACGGCGAAGGCCCGGCGATGGCATGTTTTGGGCCGCAACTCTGGTGCCTTGGGCAGCCACGCTGCGCAAGCGTGATAATCGGCACCCGCTGCCGAGGGCGGGGGACGGGGTAGCGAGGGTGGATGAAAACGGCGACGACCTCGCGGACGCGGGGAGGAAAAGGAGGAGAGAGGAGGAGGAGTAGGAGGAGGAGGAGGACCTCAACATACCCAAAATGTATCAAAGATGCTGCAATCGATCCTCCCGTCCTAAATTTCCTCGTAAATCCCTTCACGTATCCTTTTCCGCTTCAGGAAGCGATCCCCTCGAATGGCCAGCACCACGTGGGCCTGCAACTCAGGCGACACACATATTCATGTAGGATCAACCCTCCATCCCACCAGTCAGAAGAAACGCAACGAGATGGGATGACATAGTAAAAACACTCCTACTTCTGGCCCCAATTGAATACAAACCCACGTAAAGGGGTTGCACAATCTCAAAAAGGTGGTCATGAAAAAAATCCGGAGTTTCAAATAAGAATCCCAATTCGGAAAAGAACCGCCCTACGTCACTGTATCGGTGCACGGTTAAACCTCCAAAGTCCGGACTTTAATTTTCTAATGCATTATACAAGGTATGCCGAGCGCGACGAAAAACATTCATTCAACCCAACGACACATCCAACTATACTCCAAGCTGAACACGGGGCACCCCCAATCCGTGCAACCGTTCCGTACGTGCGCGAATACGCTTGTCGGACTTGAGAATCAAGCGATTACCCGATGTTGAGAAGGAGCTACCGTTCACCCCTGCAGCTGCTACGTGCCCATGCTTTGGAACGGTGAACTCTTAGGAGGACTGAAGCGATAGCCGCATTCTACATTTGCTCTTTGATCTACATATATATATATATACAGATGTATATATACATATACGTATACACATGTGTATACATATATGTATATAATAACGTGTGTGAATAGATACGTGTGTGTATGTATATATGAATGTGGGTCATGGGGGAGTGGGGGGGGGTGTCAGGGTTCATGGGGGTCTACCGGTGCGGGCAACACAGATTCGGCTACATGTAATCGTCGCAATTGGGCGGTGTAACGCCCTCCTGCGCTCAAGAAAGCCTTGGCCCGGCAACGGGTCCTCTTCTCCTCCCCTCTCCATATATGTTTGTTTCTCTCTCTATATTTCGCTATCTCTCTCTCTCTCTCTCTCGCTCGCTGTCTCTCTGTCTCTGTCTCTCTTTCTCTCTCTTTCTTTCTTTATTTCTTTCTTTCTCTCTCTCTCTCTCTCCGAAACCTTCCTACCGAATAACATGTGGGGGGCTCCAGGCCACCCTGGACCTGCAGCGTTCCGACCAGACCGCCCCACGCCTGCGCAATCCTGTCCCCGACCCGCCCCCGCCAGCTCACATGCAGTGGGAAGAGCGACAAACTGTAGGAGAGGAAATCATTGCCCGCAATTGCCAAACGGCCCTCACTGCTGCGGACCAGGCTGACAACGTTCAACAGATCTTGTTGATTACTAACGAAGCCAGCCGCACGTACAATCTCACCACCCAGCGCGATAAACCACCCCCCACCAACGATGAACCGCGCCAGCGTATTTCTACTAGACACGGCGACGCGCCTGTGTTCACCCCCTGCCCTGTTACTTCAAGGGCGTTCCCCGAACACGGGGCCGCCGCCGAGCACCTTAACCGCCTTGAACAGCTGATGCGACAACTCAGCGAACTCTGCCGTATCGCCACCCACAATTCGCGCGAAAACCGCCCCCACCCCTCCGACGACAGCAACAACATTACCCAACGAGAGAACTACACGTGGGCGGCCGCCCGCGTCTTGGTTGGCCGCCTTCGGGCAATCGCCCTCGTCGATTCCCCGCAGCTGCGGAACGACCAAGCCCCTCCGCGCGGGGAACAGCTGGACAGACTCATCGCCAGCATGGAGAAAAAGCTGCGGCGGCGCGGCCAGAAAGCCAAGGCTGAACGCGCCAAGAACTGGGCCACCCGCGTGCGACAAACTGACGTGAGACACGCTGCACCGCACGCCAGGGCATAGCACAACTCACCAACAGCGGATCTGCGCGCGCCCTGGAGGGGGGGGCCCAAATCTTGCCTCCGCGCCAAACCTGGAGGTAAGAACGACGGGACCACTACCGCGCCTGATGACGACGACGCCTTGAGCTCTGACAGTAGGTCAGACACCGACGCTTCAAACGCGCTCCCACCTGCAAGCTCCGCCCTGACCGACACGAAAACCATTTTCAAAATCATGGCCGACACGCGGGAACAGATCCGCCGACCCTGTGTCGGCGTGTGTGAAGGGCTTGTCCGTTCCCGTCGTTCGTTCGTCGTCGTCTCCGTCGTCTCCCGTCCCTGCGCCCACCCTTTCCCTGGCCGTCGTCTCCTGTCCCTGCGCCCCCCCTTTCCCTGGGCCCGTCCCCACTCCCCCCCTTGCCCCCTCGTCCCTAGGGCCGGCGCCGCCCCCCCCCCCCTGCATTTCCAGGGCCTCCCCCTCAAGAACAACGCTGTCGTTCCCTTTTGATCCCTCCCGTGTCCGGGGGGGGGAGGGGGGGGGCGCGTCAAATGCGACCCCCCCCCCCCCAGGGGGTCCCCGGGCGCACGCAAAGCCTCAGACAAACCAAGAACCGAGACATTCTAACGCGCCCCAGCGGGGGCCCAGTCCTCGGGGATCTTCTGACCCTGGTCAATCCAGACCCGGGTCAGCAGGAAACCAAAAAACTGCAATGCAAGAAAAAAACTGCAACGCAGGTCTTCGCAAACCCGGGTCAACAAATATGCGCGGCCGCCTCGCGGCCTCGAACGGCTCGCTAACCCGGGTCAGCCAGAGGGGGTCTTCGCAGGATCCTGCAGGATCTGGCGCCCTGGCTGACCCCCGTTTGCATCGACCCCCGTCTGAAGGCTCCCGAAGTCCAGCCCCAGCTCCGCTTCCGGCCCCGGCCTCGCCCTCGCGAGGTCCCGGCCCCGGCCCCGGCTGAGATGCTCATAACCAGTTATGGTAGTTGTGGGGGAATTGTGGTAATTATTGCCCGTTTGATCTTCCATATCTTACTTGATCTTCAAGATGTTAACTTACCCTGCCAGACCTTACATAACCTGAAGGGTGCAAATTGTGGAAAATACGGAAATATGTGTTTATAGACTTTGCTTTTCAAACAAAAAACGTCTTTGATATTTTTTACAGCGTGTAAGTTACGGGCGAATTAGGTTTGGAGTGGTTCCATGTGTGGAAGTTGCGTTCTAGTTAGTTATTTGTTATTGATTATTTGTTGTAAGAACATGTGTTGCGAACATAGATATGCTACAGACTCCTATTCTTAAGCAGAAAGTTGCGTTATGTATGACCCCATATCGTTGCATTTACGTTTTGTTTCTCTAACGCGTTGCGCTGCCAGCGAATCATGTTTGCATGTTCGTGCCACTGTCCAACGCTTTGCGATGCTCCTCCCCCCATCCAGCGCTCTGCGCTGATCCGATCCCCCCAGCGCTTGCGCTGTTCCCCCACCAGCGTTTCTAGCACCATCCAGCGCTTCGAGCTGCTCCTCCCTCCATCCAGCGCTTTGCGCCGCTCCGCCCCCCAGCGCTTGCGTTGCTATTCCCCCCATCCAGCGTTTTGCGCTGCCCTTCCCCCCCATCCAGCGCTTTGCGCTGCTCCTCTCCCCATCCAGCGCTTGCGCTTTTCCCCCGCCAGCGCTTGCGCTGCTCCTCCCTCCTGCAGCGCTTCGCGTTGCATCTCCCCCCATCCAGCGCTTTGCGCTGCTCCTCCCCCCATCCAGCGCTTGCGTTGTTCCCCCGCCAGCGCTTGCGCTGCCCCTCCCTCCTCCAGCGCTTTGCGCTGCTCCTCTTTGGGCTGTTCCTCCCCCGCCCAGCGCTTGCGCTGCTCCTGCCGCATTCAGCGCCTCGCGCTGTTCCCGTCCGCAGCCGTTTATGGCTCAAGCGTTTGAGCTCCGACGCCGCGCGAAAAGGCGCGGCGGCGGCATGGCCCTCCAACGCCGCCGCGCTTGCGCTCCAGCAGCGCGCCGCCGGGGGTTCGCCCTCGCTCTCGATCGAGGCCCCGTCCTCCTCCTCCTCCTCCTCCTCCTCCTCCTCCTCCCTCTCCCCCTTCCCTCCGCTCCCCCCCCCCCCCCCCCCCACCCCCCTCCGGAGGGTTCGTCGGGAGCGAGATGCGTTGCGAGAGCTCCTCCATCGCAGACGCGTGACCCAGCGGGGGCTGACGAGGACGCTGAAGACGACTCGCGAGGCGGCGGCGCACTTACCCGCCAAGGTTTCGAAAG